GTCGATCGAACAGCTCACCCAACCCATGCTGCCCAACATGGAAGCTATCATCCGTGAATCCACGAAGGAACTCGAGGGAGTTGCCCTGGAGCTCAAGAAGCAAGAAATGCGCAACCTCTGCATGACTTGGATCGAGGACTTGCGCGAGTACTCATGGGAGCGGTTCGGTGGCATGATACAACTCCTTGTAGCGGTAGCCCACCGCGGCAGTCGGCACTAAACACTTTACACTCTGCAGGTCTACAGCGACTACAGCGTGTGTGCTGGCTCCTGGCTCCTGGCCCTGTGCCCTGTCCTGCTGCTCGTGCGCGCGTGTTTTCAAATTGGGAGGGGGTCCGTGCTTGATTTGTTCCCCCTCTCTGTGTCTCACGGCCCCCCCTCGGCCCCCTACATACCTACTTGTGAGAGTTGGCGTTTATTTTATGATGCCTGACACGTTTTGGCGGTTTGGTGCGTTGCCTGGCGAAAGTCAGGCATCTCAGGCACCAAACACCCTCTCAGGCAACCCCGATCTGCAAAGGGGCTGTCAGGCAATAAATCAAGGTTGCCTGATAAGGCTGAGCTTAGCGGTTGCCAGTACCGTTTTTTTTTGCCTCACCAGCGGGGCGGTTTTGCAATAAGGCAGTACTTTTTCGGCGGTAAGCAGCTTTTCGTTTGTCGGCGGTACTGCCTTCGGCGGTCCCGCTCCATGGATCACCAAAATATGGCGGCACAAAAAACCTTCAAGGGTGTCCCTTGTCAACAAAATGTTCCATCGAACAATCGAAATCGAAGTTAGATTTTGATTTTTGATTTCGGGTTGGCTCTACACAGCGTAAGCGGCGAATCGAAATCGAAACTCAACCAGGAAGAGCGAACACCGCCCGTACATGCCAGTGTTGATGATTCAAAGCATAACAATGAGAGCCACACGGCATCCAAGACAGCGAACGATAGCTCCGCAAAACGGCCATGATCAGGAGGGTTGCGGGGTCTTTGTCTCGCATCGATACGCTACGAACTCAGCGAGCAAAAGTGTAATTGAATCCTGCGTGCTGATGTAGGAAAGGCGAAACAGCCACCGTTGAAGTGCATAGACAAAGACAGAATTTCACGGCGATGACTTTCTCTCTCAACGTAGAGCAGATCTCGCTGAAAGAAAGTATCCCGTGCTCTGCTGGATGTCAGCTTTCTGCCAAGCTACTGCTTGCATCGCCAAGCAGTGTGTAGGTGGCTGGACGAGTATCGAAATGAAGGCATGTACGATTCTCGAGGTGTGACAAGCCAGCTTGATGTTCCGGTTGGCATTTTCGATTTTCGATTTCGAGTCTGTTCGTACTCGCTTTCAATTTTTCCACATCGGAGAATATTCGGAACACTTGCCCTCAGATCGAAAATCCGGCGGCGGAACACTGAAGCTATGTCCAATCAGTGATATATTTTATTTTCGATTTTCGATTTTCGATTTTCGACGGAAAACGTGTCTGATAAGGGCCACGCTCAAGCGCTGAGTAGCAACCGTAATGGTGCAGCGGTACTGGAACATGGCGGGACCCCCTTCGGCGGTCTCGGCAACACCGTAACATATGGCAGTTATGTTCCGGTGGTGAGCAGTCATTGTTTTTCTGGCGGCAACATGAGGTAAAACGTTTTTTCCGATGATGTGAACTAACCCTGTTCAAAATACCATGCGCTCTAGGCTCGTAAGTGCTCACTGTTTTCCCGCCACACACGCTCGCAAAATGAGTCGGTCTGGTTTATGGTGGGTAGGTGTGTGAGCGTAGGCCCTACCCGCAGATAGCGTGCTTACGAAAACATTGTAAAAGCAAGCCGACGAATATCGTCGGCGTTGGTAGTCCCAAGCTCGCTTTTTTTTTTTTGCCTACCCGGGTTACCATACAGTGGTATTTTTCAAGCATCCCTTTTGGCTGGCCCTCCACAGCTTTCAAAGCAGACGCTAATGAAAACAAAAAATGTTACCCCGTGCGACGCAAGAAAGCTAGGATGTTCGGCCAGAGGGGTTGATGTATGCACATGTCGTCAAATGAATCCACGACGCTATCGGTTGAGTACAAAACTTAATGATCGAGTGTTCCGATGTAGAAAGTACCAAATACACGAGCAAAGTAAAATAACAGGTGGTTTGGTGTGATGCAGAAGTACATACTAGTACATGCTGCTGTGACCAAGCTTCAAACAAAATAGCAGCACGTTCGTCCTGACGGGTCGTCACGTCAATATAATCTTTGCTAGGAACAGAGGGCATCTGCGAGAAGAACCTGTTCCCCACAGGAGAGGAGAAATCGCTGCATGCTGCTTGGGGAATAGGTAGCTTTCGCGGATGCTATGAATGAATTGCTAATCTATCCCAGACTCGTCTGTGGAGGTGAGAATGTATGCAAACGTGTTGTGTCGTAAGCAAGAAAAGTTACATACATATATCTCAGCACAGTCGAACCTCTACTAAGGACGCATATGATTTCGATATTTTATTCCGTCCTTCATAAAAGGTAGCGCCCTTTTACCTTCAGGGGCCAATGACCCACCATCCCCGGGTCAAGGGAGGCGATTTATGCCCGAAACGACACACCTTTGGCAGGACGTGTAAAACGAGAACAGGACAGCATTAGGAGCGACGAACTCCAAGTCATCACGAAAAAATAAGGTGTTAGATTGCTCATATGCATAACACAGTTAGCCCGGAACTGCGTACTATCGATTCACCTACCCTGCAAGACTAAAACTAGCGGGCGCAGCTGAGCTATTGCTATGTTGAGCCCAGGCACAGAGGCCCCGAAACCCCACCTGAACTACTGCTTCCTCCATAGACGTTGCAAATAATAATTGCCCGGAACGTCTTCCACTTCCTTCGCCCTAATGTTAATGTTCATCGGTGAACGAATGCACGGTTGTCGGAAGGAAGTACAGCCTTTCCCTGAATCCACCGTCCCTTCCGTTCGCGTACAACTAGGAGCGAAGTTCCTCGAAATGAGAAGACCTGAGCCTCTGTGACGATGTAATTCATGACTCTGGTCTACCGCTGTTGCCGGCTTCCTGTTCGCTCGATGCGGCATCGATGTGTTCGTTGGCGCGGCACTGTTCTACAGCTTGCACTTGAAAGCAATGCTTCTGCGAAGCCAATCTACAGAGTTGCAGGCCTGTTCACAAGACACAACACTACGCAGTCGCTCTATATCCCAAAGCACGAATCCTCGGAGAGGCTGTGTTGCGGACATTTCACAACAATAACAGAGGGGAGCCCACATATGGTGTGTTTCTCTAGTTCAGTACTCGGGGGAACGGGACTAGCTTAGGCATCGTTGCAGCCAAAACATGTTTATCGAGCCTCGGGGGATGACATTAGAGCTTTGGCTGTACAAGGATCTTGGCAATGCCCGTGGGGTGGTAGATGTGACGTACGGAATGGTGCAGTTTCCCTTTACCCTCGAAAGAGACTTACAGCATGCGTGTTGTTGGACATGCGTTGGGTAGCCCCGGTAGTCTAGTTGATTCCCTTGAAAAACTCGCTAGTGGCCAGGGTCAGGCGTTCGAATCCCAGCGTAAGCGAGAGTTTCTTGCAAAGTGAGTTTTTCTCTCGCTGCCATTCCTGGCCTGGGTGGAAAGCGCTAGTTCGTGTGTACACAACAGGGAAGAGAGTAGAGTGCTGCACTCTTCTAGCGTTAAACATCGAAGGCAAAGCATTGCCCACTGGGTGGGTAGGGGACCTCAGGGAGAGGATCCCTTCTGTGTGACCACGCGTTGGAGTAACCGGCACAAGTGCTGTGAGCGCTGATTTGAAGCAAGACAACAAAAATAATCCCCGCCCCTTTTGAGTTGGCCCCGCGGACGAACAGCATGGCGACGGTTGTTGTCACGTGGCTCTGGCCTGGTCACGTCTAGTCTTGTTGGTTTCAATTTTTTGCGGCGCTTCACCTCTTGCTTGTCCTCGTTGGCAACATACGTTGGGGTGACGGCGGTGGTTTCAGCAATGTCGCAGCCACCCTTGCGTACATATCTCATGTTTGCGCTCGCTCATCTGATCCATCCCTCGTTTCTTCGTTTCCTCCGTTCCCTCCTTTCCGCCTTGTTGTTCAAGGCCCGGATACTGCCGAGAGCCTCATATCGGGCCCCCAGAGCATGAAGAGTGAAGCTTCGGTCAAGACCGAAGCTTCCGTCAAGACCGAAACTTCCGTCAAGACCGAAGCTTCCGTGAACAAGGCCTCTATCAAGACAGAGGGGTTTAGCACGGAACCTACCAGCGACTCTGGCAAACCGTTGCCGGCGCCGTCCTCGTCGACGCCCACGACACCCAAGTCCGGCTCTGACCCACTTCAATCAGCAGCGAGCGTTGGTGATGGTGGTGCTGTCTCCGCCCCTGCCACTGCGCCCGCCGTTGCCGTTACCGCTGCGGCTCCTCCTGCTGCTCCTGCCCCTGCCGCTGCCCCTGCTACATCTGTGCCGAGCGGGACTTCGAAAGCTTCCCCAGCAGTGGCCGGAAAACAACAGGAGGAGGAAAATGCTCGGGACTCGGCGGAGACCTTGTCGGAGCGAGGCAGCGCGGAGGGGGAGGGTGACTTGGACGACGCACTATCGGGCGCCCTGTGCGCACCCCGCAATGTTGGCAATCCTCCCCCCGGTGCTGCTGTTGCCTCCGGCGAGCCAGCAGGGGACGCCTCCACGGAGGGGATGGCTGGGAAGGACGTTTTGAAGCCCAAGGTGGGCATCACCGCCGGTAGGGTCGAAGTGGAGGCCGGACGAAAGCAAGAGTATTGGGGGGGGCAGTCGGAGGGCATGTTCCGGAAGCGCGTCAGCGAAGAGCTCAAGGCCATGCTCCGGAGTTGCGGCGGGAGGTGCGAGATGAGCTCCATTGCCAAGCTCTTCAAGCGTCGTCACAAGCGGGCTATGAATCTTCAGGGGAAGAAAGTGAGATAAGATGTGATCGCGTGGCCGTTTGGATTTGCATATTTGTTTTGTGTAGACGCGTGGATACGCAGAGTTTGTCACTCGTCGCATGCCGAGTCGACTCAACATTGTGCGCAATGAGGAGTCGTTGCGGGCGTGGTTTTTCGTCGATACTTGGCGACTTGTGGGTATTTGGACTTGTGGGTATTTGTTCCCAGAAAACGTTGCGTACATACTGATTATGTAACCGCAGTCATTCACGATTGTGTTTCACGTGCTAACACGTGCTAGGTCTCGACATGGAGTGTGGCAATGAGGGTAACAATATGCTGGTCTTTCTGTGCCTTCGCTTCCTACTTGGCCACCCCCCCCGTCTCACCCCCTTCCTCCTCCCCTCCCCCCCCCCGCCGCCGCTGTTGTGCGTTGCACGTGACACGAAGCTCCGCGCACTCTTGACAACAGGTAGTGGACTGTATGGCATCGGCTTATACGGCCATGGGCAAGACGGAGAGATCCGACTGGAAGAAAAGTTTGTGGTAAAGGACAGCAACTCGGTCGCGGCTACGGGTCCCAACAGTGTGGGCGATCGAGGAAGCACCCAGCCACTCACCCGCACGTTCGTCAACCAGAATGCTCTAAGGAATCAAGACAGTCGTTCTCACGGACGTAGCCCTGGGGGACGGGGCGACTCCTACGATGAACCAGACCAAGGCCTCCCTGGCGGGGCGGGACACGGCTCTCGACCGGCATTAGTTCGACCCACATCGGGCCCGCTCGGCAACAGCGTGGGATATGCGCGCTCTCATCCTGATGCACGTTCGAGAAGGGACGAAGATGCAAGAGTAGGCCGGGAGTGGAGCCGGAGTCGGAGCCCTCCCCCTCGCCGCCGCAGCCGTAGCCGTAGCCACAGCTGGGACAAAGGGGTGTCGGGCGGACATCGGAGGGACGGGCGCCTTCGTCCAGCTCACGGAGCGTCGCGCTCCTCCTCGAGGGGGCGCAGATTCTCGCGGACGACTGGTCGGCCCAGCCCTCACGAACGCAACAGTCAACAGCAGCGGCGTCGGGGGCGTAGCCCGAGCCCTCGGGGGCGTACCCCCTCCAGCAGGGAATTGAGCCCGCGTAGTAGCCGCGGCCAACGCAGGGGTACCACCCCGCCACGCATGAGTAGCTCGCGCAAGAACAGCGGGAATTGGCGTAGATCGCACAGCCGAAGCCCACGTAGGAGAAGTCCCCACAGGCGCGGAAGCCCAGCAAGGCGCCTCAGCCCATCTAGGCGCACCACCTCGCCCAGGCGTAGCCCACCTCGTGGCATCGGCGGGCATGATTCTGCAGAGCGCGGCCCTACCCATCGCTCTCGTGGGGATCATCTCGGATCGTCTGATCCTCGCGGAAGGCACGGGAGCACTCGCGCGGCCGCTGGTCGCGATCGTGACATGCCCTCTCGTGCAGTCTCGTCCAGGAAGGCGGCAAAAGAGCGTAGCTTGGAGAGACCGGAAGAAGATGAAGTAAGGCCTGGTGACAGTGCTCGCCAGGGAGGTTGTGTCGGAGCTTTACGACGAAGTGGAAGAAGTGCTTCTCCGGTGGGCTACGGTACCGAACCTCTCCGTGGTACCCCCGAAGAAACCAGGAAGGGCCAGGAGAACGGCCGTGGCGCTGTCGGCCGGGTGGCGGTAGGGGGGCAGATGATGGATCCAGTGATCCCTCTCGCCGTCGCCGGCACACCCGCTCCTGCGGTGGCGGGTGCAGCAGGAGGCAGGCCGACGATTGACCCTGTGATTCCTCGTGCTCTAGGCGGAGCTCCTGTTCCTGCGCTGGCTTCGTCGTCCGGCACGCGCCGCTTGGTTGAGGGCACGGTGGGCAGTGGCGGTAGGTTTCCTTCCAATTTCGACCCTCCTGGGAAGCTGTACCACGCAGGAGCAGGACCACTAGGAGATGGGTACTCGGCAGGAAGCGGCCACCCAATGGTGGGCAATTGGCTGAATGGAGACGGAGGCGGAGGCAGTCAAGTGGGTCTCAGACAAGGTCGACCTGTTCCTCCCCACCTCGCTCCTGCGTTGCTGCCGCCGCCGTCCTCTCTGCGGCCTCTAACTCCGATGCCTGTGCGTGCACAAGGCGCTCGACTCATGATCAAGGGGACGCACCCGGCTGTTCCTGAGCGAAGGATACATGCGCTGGTTTCTACATTCGGCGTTGTTGGGAAGATCGAGGTGTTGGAGGTGAAAATGAGTTTTCAATGTCTTCGAGTTCGCTGCTCTGGATATGCTGCCGCTGCCCTCCAACCCGAGTCTATCTTTTGGTAGTTTTGTGTTCTGTCCGTGTCACTTTAGTTTTGTGGAGTGGTGCAGCTTCTTCCTCGTTACTGGTCTGTGCTGCACACGTATGGACATGCTTGGAGCTTTCTCCTGCCGCGCGTTTTCGAGTAAATCGCAACAGAACAGCAACGGCCTACAGATCATCGCGTGTTTGTTGGTGTCTCCGACCCCCTGCGCCCCTTCTCTTGCTGTGATGGAAGCCCTCTCCGTTGTTAGAGGTAGATACGCGAACAGCTGCGGCCTTTGCATTGGCACAAGGTCATATATGAGTGAATCGAATTTTTTTTCCAACACATTTTCAGATCTGTCCTTCACGCATGGGCTGTACCGAGAAAGAGGGAGTCATAGCATCGAGAAAAATCAATATGTTGGCAATGGGATGATAGGCGAAGAGCGCTGAAGACCCGAAGACCCGTGGAACCACACATTTCCGAATTTGTTGGAATATCATCCTCGTTGCGCTCGCTCCCCAATAATTGACTTAAGCACCCTGCTGCCCTGGTGCTCCCAGGTACGCTGTCCATTTCAGCGTTAGTGGTGTTGCACTGTGAGGCTCGACAAGTGGTCCCTAAACTCGCCTGTCTCGAACTTTCTCTACCCTTCTCTGCTTTCGCCTCAACTTTGTGTAGGGTTTCGTGTTCGTTCACATGAAGTCGCTGGAAGAGGCCAAGCGCGCTGTGACTGGGCTCAACGGTAAAGCAGTGCCGCACGTGAGTCCTCAAGCTAGTGACCGCGCTGGAGCCGCCCCACTTCCCCTGGCGGCGGCGATCTGGCGTGAGGAGCAATACCAAGCCCTCATGTCCAGGGAAAACATTCGCATTTACGCGGACAGCATGCGCAGGGCTTCGACGTGGTATGAGAAACAGACCAAGTCTGGCTTCAACGACACTCTCGGGGAGCCCATGCCTTGCCGTTTCTTCAGCTTGGGCAGGGGCTGCATTTTCGGGAATAACTGTGGCTTCAGTCATGACCAGCGGCCGCCTTACCCAAGAGCGGCCGCAAGCACCCACGGGGGTGCTGGTGGGCCAGGCTTCGCCGCCCCGTTGTCTAAGCCCCCGTCGGTTATCCCCAGCCCTGCGTTCGCACCCACGTCGTCCTCGAGGGCTGGAGTGGTGCCAAACCCTTTCAGGCAAGGAAGGGTTCCAGTACTGGCCCACCATGAGCAGTCTCCTACCCTGACGTTCGTACGTAGGGATGAGATGCACCGACGCTCCGGTCCCGGAGCTCAAGAAGACATGAAGTCAGACCCTGCCGGTGGGTACACGGGGAGTGGAGTCGGTGTCGCTACGCCGTGGCAACCGAAACACGAGGCCGGCGGAATCAGCGGGGCAGGGCAAATCTTGCCGCAGCCAGGAGCAACCAGCGGCAGGAACGTGGATCATCAGGAACAGACTAGAGGCGGCACTTCCTCGCAGCCCTTTCCTAGTCCACCGGCACTACGAAACGGGCCTGGTCGGGTGCGTTCCTCGGCGAGTCCCACTGCCAATTCAGGCAACACCCGTCGGAGTGGGTATCAATACAGATCTCACAGCCATGGGGCTGATGGCCGAGGCGGCGGAAACGACAGCGATAGCGGTGGGGGCGACAGCAGGAGAGACCGTGAGAGCAGAATCAGCGGTGGTAGGAGCTCGTGGCGAGAGGAGCCGTACAGGAGGAACAGCGACCGCGAACACAATGATTTGAAGAGATCGTCGCCTGTCTCATCTCGTGGACGCTCACGCCGGGATGCATCGCCGATCTCGGAACATGCGAGGAAACGAGGGCGTGGAAGTAGCTCCCACCCGAGGAGTCCTCCACGCAGCAGTGGTGGCTATAAGAAGAACGACGATAGACTATCCAGGTACAGCCAGGACGCTGTCCAGCAGTCCCGAAGGGGCCACGGCGGGAGCCGAAAGAGCGAGAGCCTTCAGAGTGTACCAGGTCGCGGCTCTCGCAGGCACCGCCTCGATGGACGTCCTAGGCAGCGCCGTGACTCTCGATCGACCAGCCGCCCGCGGAGTCGTCGAGATGACAGAGGTGACAGAAACGGGCGAAGCTCTACTCGCGACGAGCGACCTTATCACCCCCGCCGGAGTCGCGATAGTGCAAGCCCAGTGGGGAAAGGGCGTCGTTATCGAGACGATGTCAGCCCGGGGGTGAACGAACGCCGGTATGAGAGCGACAGTGGAGACGCCAATCTCGATGGTAGAAGGAGTAAGAAAAGCCGCACTGAGGGAGACACCAGCCGTGGAAGAGGGAGCGACCGCCCAAGGCGCGAGGACAGCGGAGGCGAACGCGGCACAAGGCGCGAGGACAGCGGAGGCGAACGCGGCATGTTGTTGGGCAGGCGCGGCCGTGGCAGGCGGGGAAGCGACAATGTCAGCCACGGCTGGGCTTCGCCCGCTGATAACCCTGGCGCTTTCTCTCGAGATGACCACTCGCGAAGCTATGGTGATGCGCCTCAAGGTGACCGTTACAACGCCGGTAGCAGTGGCGTGCATCGCCGAGAAGAAAGGTATGTCGCTGACCGTTCAGTAAGTCCCAATGGCTCAGCTGGGTGGGACAGCATGGTAAAAGACGAGTTCATGGTGAAGGACGAGTTCATGGTGGAAGACCCTCCCAGGCCCATCAAGACTCAGTTCACTGTGACGGCGCGTCTGGGCTCCCTGCAGCCGCCGCCCGTTTCTGCTCCCGCTGGTGCTGCCCGTCCATCTACCAGGTTTTCCATCACGATGCCTTCCAACATAGCTGGTGCTCTAGGGCCAACATCACCGTCCGGTGGGGTGCGACGGGGGGGCAGGCCTACGAGAGGAAGAGGGCGGGGGGGTAGAGGTGACGCTCGCCGTGATGCGGCGAGTCGTCGCCCTCCTCGTGATGTCCAGGATGACGAAGGGTATTCCCGCCACTAAGCGTACCCTTATTGAGTGAGAACCTTTTCGTCGTGGCTTCGATCGAGAGCGCTCGACAGGGTGTGCTGCTGTGCCGCCACACGTGCTTTCGAGGCTTTTTTCGCGAAGATCGCGAAGGAGGCGGCCAGTCACGGGGCTGGTACAGGAGGCGGCCGGTCATGAACCAGGCGAAGGAGACGGCCGGGCAGGGGTGGACGTTGGCCTGGCACGATTTGAATATTTGCAGCGATGGACGGTTTTATTGGGATGTTTTTGGTTGTTTCCGGGGCAAACAAGCTAGTGTGGTTCAAGACCAAGAGCGGTTTTCTAAGCTCAGGTAAGTGGAGAAGCAGACACCACC